AGCACAGAATGTCTTCTGAAATACCTACCGATCAAGCTATCAAACCTCTTCAAGCACAGAATGCTCAATTCCAAGAGATGTTCTTGAACTTGGCTAAAGGGCAACATGATTTGAAGACTCCCATCCTGAAGGAGAAGAAGAAGAAGAAGAAGAAGAAGAAGGTGGTTCTTCTGAACATGGGTCAAAAATTTGGGAATAGGTTGCGACAAGAAGCTGATCTGTCTCATTCTTCTAAAGGAGGAGATAATCAAGAGGAAGAAAAGGGTCCCAGCCCTGTGGTCTCTGATAATGACACTGATTTTGATGATAAAAAGTACCCCCCTGCTGAGGACAGGTACAAACAACTGGAAGACCGTCTGAGTGCAATGGAGATTCAGAAGATACCTGGTTTAGACTTCGGAGATCTGGGACTAGCATCTGGGGTGGTGATCCCTCATAAATTCAAAGCTCTTGTTTTCGCTAAGTACCATGGAGTATCTTGTCCAAAGCTCCACCTCCGCTCGTACGTCAGAAAAATCTAACCTTATACTGCTGATAGGAATCTGTGGGTACATTTCTTTCAAGATAGTCTGTCAGGGACTCAGCTTGAATGGTTTTATCAATTGGAAGGAGCTAATGTCCGCAACTGGGAGGACCTTGCTGCTGCTTTTTACAAGCAATACCAGTATAACGCCGACCTTGCTCCCACGCGTACTCAACTTTAGGGTATGTCTATGGGCGCAAGCGAAGGTTTTAAGGACTATGCTCAGAAGTGGAGAGATCTGGCTGGAAGAGTCCAACCCCCTCTGTCTGATAGGGAATTGGTGGATATGTTTCTTGGGACTTTGTATGGTCCATATTTTAATCATCTGATCGGCAGTTCATCATCTGGGTTTACTAAATTGATTTTGACTGGGGAGAGAGTAGAAGCTGGTATCATAAGTGGTAAGATACAGAAAGGTGCTTCATCAAGTACAGAAAAGAAGCCTTTCAAGAAAGAAGCTAGTGCAGTTTACAACTCGAGGAGCAAAAACTGACCTGAACGCCGCCAAGCAGTTAATGCGGTAGTAATATCAAGACCTACAGTTGCCCCACAACGCAACAATCAGCAAAGGATGGAGAGGCCGCAAAGATAGTACACTCGGTTTGATATGACTCTGTCTCAAATTCTGCCGCAATCATTGAAGACTAACTTGGTAACTCTGAGGGAAGCCTTGAAGAATCCCAGAACCACATCTCCGCTATATAATCTGAACGCCCGCTGCACCTATCACTCCGATAGTCCAGGGCATGATATGAACAACTGCTGGGCTTTGAGGAATAAGGTGCAAGATTTGATTAAAGCTAAAGAAATTGAGTTTGATGCTCCGGAAAAGCCTAAAGTCATGACTGCCCCTATGCCCAAGCATGGAGTAAATGCTGTGGATGATGACTCATTTGTGACCTCTGAAAGATATTTCCACTCTGTTGATTACAGTTAAGAAGAATCTATTGTCGGCCGGATTATTTACGGGCTGTGGCGAAGGTTGCCACATATGTTCAATCCTGCCTGCTAGTTGCCATTTATTGAAATCAGGTGTTCAACGCCTGATGGATAACAAAGGGATCTTGTTTGAGAAAACTTTGATTCCGTTGATTCCTGTTGAAGATGTTTCCATCATAACCATTTCTGCCAATTCTCCCAAGGCTTCCTCGAGAAAGCCTATTAGGATTACATCCGTTCCAAGAGTTTCTCCATTGATCATTACTATTCCTGGTCCTATCCCATACACTTCGGATAATGCTGTCCCATGGCACTATGAGGCCGATGTGTATTATCATGGGATCAAACAAGACTTAAAGGTTGAAGAAACTGATGCTGATATCAACAATATTGTCGGGGCTAGCAAGGTCACTAGAGGTGGAAGACTTTTCTCTCCCGAGATTTCCCCTCCAACTGTTCAAAAGCCTATTGCCATTCAGTCTACTACTACATCAGCTGCTGTTCCAATTCTTACTCTAGTTATCACCCCTGTCGCCGAGTCATTTGACACTCGGGGCAAAGAAGTTACAGGTGAGCCTGCCCGGACGGAGGCACCTAAGAAGATTATTGTAGAAACCTCTAAGCAGGAGATAGAGGAAATTCTGAAGATTATCAAGAAGAGTGACTACGACGTAGTCGAGTAGCTGAGGCAGACCCCATCGAAAATCTCCATGTTGTCCTTGTTATTGTGTTTAGAAGCCCATGCAAAGGCTTTAATTGCTTTCCTTAAAACTGCGCATGTGCCGCAGGAAACATCTGCTGATCAATTCAAAGACTGTGTATCTAGTTTGACTGTCGACAACAGGTTGGGTTTCTCCGACGCAGATCTGACTGCCAAAGGAAGAAATTATAATGATGCTCTGCATGTCTCGATCGAGTGCAGGGGCACTACTCTGGCCCACGTACTGGTGGATACTGGGTCCTCATTAAATGTTTTACCCAAGAAAGCATTAGATCGGCTGGACTGTGAAGAGTTGGTTCTGAAGCCGAGTAATATTGTGGTTAGGGCCTTTGACGAGTCAAAAAGGATGGTGCACGAGGAGGTGGATGTCCCTGTTAAAGTTGGCTCTCAGACTTTTGCATCTACATTCTATGTAATGGACATCCGACCATCCTATTCCTATTTGTTGGGTCTCCCGTGGATTCATAGGCTGGGGCAGTGACTTCTACGCTCCATCAGATGTTGAAATATCTAGTAAAAGGGAAGATTGTTACGGTGCAGGGTGAGGAGGAGTACATGGTGAATCACCTTAATTCCTTTCGCTATATGGAGATGGATGAAGAGTTCATCGAAACCCCGTGTCAGAATTTTGAAGAGGTCCCCCAGACTCTGGCGTCGACTGAAGTTGCTGTTGAAAAACCTCCAATGAAGATGGCTTCCCTCAAGGATGCCAGGGCTGTTATTGAAAAAGGTGGGTGTGCATATTGGGGTCAACTCCCTGACTTTGCACACAAAACTGACAAGTTTGATTTGGGATTTACTGCAGAGGCTCAAAGGACTGTTCGGCGTGCGCGGATTAGAAGACCTCCTATGCGCATCAGTAATCCAGGAGTGAATGCAATTAAGGATGATAAAGAAGAGTCAGAGTTCGACAACTGGATTTACCCGACTACTGATGGTGGATTGAACAACTGGACGACGAAGGACTTCGTGCCCGTTTATTTTATTACACAGTAATAGACTTTTGTTTTGAGATTTGTAACAGACAATTTGAAACTTTACAGCCTGGTGCCTCGCCCGAGGCACCTTGGCTTTGTTTGTGAGTGAAACAACCGGCTGAAAATCATCAAAATAATGAAGTCGCCATCGAACGTATTTTATCCCACAGGAAGGGAAAGGTAAACATCGAGAAAACCTGAGAAGGAAGAAGTCACGATCTTGCGACCGAGAGATAAGGGTAAGGGAGTCTGTTACGCGAGGGGAAGGTATTAGCACCCCACACGCCCGTAGTACTCTATGATATCCACTCTTGTTATCTATCTTATGGATGTGTCCAATCTATGTTTATTATTTACTATACTGCTAAAGGGAATGCATGCAAAAGAAATGAGAAAAGAATGTAGGGAAAATAAAATTGTGCTCGTTCAGACCCTACCCCGATGCCTACGTATCCCTTTCATGGAATTAGAGTAGCCGTAGTTTGGCTCATATGTTTTTGTTGGTTTGTATTTTTTAATGAACAATATTAATTTCTCCTTCTGCCGCAACTCAACCTTTGGAGACTTACGCTTCAACACATAAGTGAATTAACATATTCTTTCTGAAAAGGTTTGGAGAAAATGTGCCTGGGCGCACAAAAAGTTTTGAATTTGTTTGTGTTTGTAATGAACGATATTGATTTCGCCTTCTGCCGCAACTCGACCTTTGGAGATTTACGCGTCAGCACATAAGTGAATTAAGATTTTCTTTCGAAAAGGTTTTGAAAGAATGGCCCGAAAGCAAAAAAAGAGTTTGTATTGGTTGGTGTTTTTGCTTGTAGATAATAGCTCGTTGATCTCAAGAGAGAGATTTTAGCCATGTCTCTACTTATTCGTGAAATGATTCTTTTAGACTTGAACCATGCCGAGGCTTAGAATAAGAGAACAATAAGGTCGAGAAGAAACCCGCTTATCGTCTCACATACTTAGCGAAGATATGATTCTTGTCAGTAAATTTTTTAAAGTATTTTTGAGTTTTGCGAGAAAAAGAAGTTTTTGTTTTTAAATGCATATGCGAAAAGAAAAAAGAAAAGTCACAGGGAGACTAACCTATTTCTAAACCTAACGTTATTATGCATCATGGACCAAAAATTGTAATTTCGAGGGAATTCTACCCGATATTAGCATGCATAGCTTGCAGTAAAGAAATGCAATAAAGTGCGAAATAAGGGGTAAAATAGGGTCACGATGATACCGAACGGAGAAGGTTCATTGCCTCTTCATAACCATACAAACAAAAAGAAAACTCTACCAAAAGCTTCCTCGAATTTACTTGTTGACAATTATGCTCTTGGCTAGCTTTAGAGCTTCGTGAAATTTTCTCACGATTATCACTTGATCAATTAAAACCAATCACGATAATCATACAAGGAAAATAAAGTCCAAGCAATTAAGAGGTGCATACAACATTCTGGAGGTATAATCCAGCAATTCAATATATAGCACTAAGCCCAACCCAAAAAAAAAGTCCATAAACCTCTTTTTTTGTTTTACCTCTTTCAACTTACCAAAAAAATTTGTGGGCCAAGGTAGACATTTTGTGGTCAGCCCAACAACACCATCTTATTTCAACATTTTTATTTGGCATATGTTAAAAAAAACAAAAAAAAAAAACAAAACAGGGAATTTAACTGAAAAGAAAAAAAAATTGAGAAGGGATTAGGTCATTCCTTGTGCGACCATTCGTCTCCTACAATTCCCTTTTTCCTCATCTTACCCGCCGCACATTATCTCTTCACCGAACTACCCTGAGCTCAATGCCACTGCTACTGCTATTTCCCCCTTCGATTCAAATTAGGCGATGTGTTTCCTCTACATAACTTCAAGGTTTAAGAAACAACCTTCTCCGAGTTCCATCATCATATCAAGAGCGATGTTGCTGTCTAAGCATCACTCAACCAATACAACACTGCTGTGGGTTCTTCATGTCCAATGCGACTACGTCTTCTATTCAGCATCACCGCATAGCTATGAGACTTCGTTCACTCTCACTTCCGCGATCTCTATCTCAATGCACAAACGACGCCTCAATTTCACCTTCTTCACCGTCTTCATCTTGATTCTACTACCACCGTGCCACTCCCTTTCGTCTGTGCTCAACATACCGTTTCTTCTTCCCGCGTCTTTCCTCTCTGATTCGCCGGAAATTGGTCCGATGCCTCTTCAACCACCATAGTGGCAAAGCCGTAAGTTTCGTTGATAAGCTTAGGTATACGCATGTTCCTATCTACTACTTTCCATACGAGTCATTATTGTGATGTTGTTATGTGACAAAACTGTTGTGTTAAAGAAGAATTGAAGATGACATTGAGGATTATTGAAGTTCTATGGATTGAAGATTGATTTGTGATTGATGAACGATGCAGAAAGAGGACGAGAGACTTTTGGAGTTTCTTGGTTGTGATTCTTGAAGATTGATGATCCAGAGTGAAGGAGTTGCGATGAGGATGAAGATGTAGTGCAGAAGAATTTTTGATGGTGATTGTCTAAATGATGAATAAAGATGGAGATAAAAATGAATGGATCTGAGAAAGGATCTTAAAAAGATTGATGATACAAAGTGAAGAGGTTGTGATGAGGATGAAGGGGAGGGAAGAAGGAAGAGGTTTACGGAGATTCCTTTGCAGAATTCCAGAATCAATATGAATTGGTAAGTTTCTATAGTTAAATCTATTATGTAGAGTGAAAAAAATAATGAATCCGAAAAAAATATCCCCTAATCTGAAAACTGAAATTCTATTATATAGATTGCTGAGAATTGGTTAGCAGATGGGAATTGGTAATTTTGTTTGAGATTTCTGTTATGGGTTGCTGCTAGTTCTGTTAGAAATTAGTTAGGAGTTAGTTTAAGAGGTTATTAGGGATTGAATAAACCTGTTAGTTATTTTTTTCTGCTTGAAGTTTGTTATGGAATGGTTAGAGGTTAGTTATGACAGTTAGGGGTTGGTTAGTTAGCTGTTAGAGTTTGTTAAAACTATAAGTTAGTTAGTAATTCTGTTAGGTGTTAGAATTCTGTTAGAAAGTTTTGGTTAGAAGTTTAGTTACTAAGCTGTTGATTTTTTAGGCCTTTCTATTATGCAGAATCAATTGGAAACGAGTTTAGTCAGTGTTTATTGTGAATTAGTAGTTGAGCTGTTAATTGATTTTCTGCTTTCCATCTTTCTATGCAGGGCCTAATAGGTAATGCAGGGCCATTATTTTGTTCTGGATATATACTGATCAGTTTGTGGCACTTATCAAGGATTGTTGCAGTTGTCATGAAGGAGGATTTGATGGCAGATGGAGACCAAGCTGCGATAATGTTTATTCTTGGGGATGTGATATCAAGCTTCAAAATTTCAGGGCTTAGATTTTCACCCGTGACTTTTGCACCATTTCCTAACAAGATATCAGAAGTGAAATCCCTATCAGTTGAGCTAGCAGCAACTGTGAGCATCCATGGTGCAAGATTAGTAGCAAAACCCAGAATTCTTTCATTTCCCGTAGACGAAACAACAAGCACTCCGTGGTTAGCAGCGTGGAACGAACTTATAGATATAGCATCGTTGAAATAATTTATGTGATACGGTGGGAGAACTGACTAGATTTTTTGCGTTTTGTTCGCACTTGTGCGGTTAGTAAGAGTCGCCCATCGACTTTTCTTTTATCCAAAAGGAAAGGTAAAAAAGCACAGGAAAGACCTTTCAAGAATTTTCTCGGGTTCAGGGGGTAGATTATGAAAAGGGAAGGTACTAGCACCCTTTTCATCCATGGTTTTCCATGGGCTCTTAGTTACTCGTTTAGATCACTTGCTTTTGTTTGATTGTGTGCTTGTGGTGTGGGCTTTGAAAGTATTTTAAAAAAACTCTTTGTAATGGTTCTCGTCTCTATAAGAACGTATACAAAGTTTTGTTTCGAATTTTTTTTCAAAGAAGTGTTTGTGAATCGTGTTTCGAAAAGTGTTTTGAAAAAGTGGTTTTGCAATGGTTCTCGTCTCTATAAGAACGTATACAAAACGTTTTAACTTTTTGAAATTGTTTTGAAATGGAGGTGTAGGTGTGAAAGTTTTTGTCGTGAGAAAGCGAGTAACTAAGAGCGAATATATCTACTCGAAAGGTCTTAAGTTGTTCTTTTCTTCTTATTTTTAATGGTGCTATCTTAACATTGATTTGGTAAGAAGCCCCATCATTAGATGTTAAGGGACAGACGCGGGTCAATTTTACAATCATTGAAGGCAACTTGTGAGACGCTCTAGCAATTTTTGTAAGGGACGAGATCGTTTTAATCGAAGGCAACATCGAGGGTCATCGAGGGTCTACGATCTTTGTTTATCGAAGGGTCATTTGCTAGAGTTTCTCATATTCGAGGGATATGATTGTATTTCTGAGGCAACGAGCTGTTTGCTGAAGATTTTGATAATGTTATTAGAAGCCAAATGAATTAAACGTTTCGATCGAAATGAGGTAAAGCGTCATGTTTCGAAGTAGCAGAAGCAGTGTTTCGAATAAGCATGTCAAAGCTTGGAGCTTCGAGTGGCAATTATGGGAACATATCTAAAGAAGTCTCGAAATAACAACAAGGCTGTGTCTGGGAAGTGCGTTCGAAACGGAGAAGTACCAAAGCATTTGAAATTCAAATGGAAGCGGGACATTCGAAGTTTGAAAGTTATGTGCTGGAGCATTTGGGGACAGGTGGAAAGAAGAAAGAGGCATTGTTCTGCATGTTCTGAACGTGGCATAATCCTATAGCAAGACCGTTATGGTCGAATTAGTATAAATAGAAGTCTTAGTATTAGGATTTCGCGTGTCATATCTATTGTACTAAATAATCAGTAACATTCAAACTACCACATGGCAAGGGAAACGAATGCAAGAGAAATGTACGTATGATAGCACCATGTATTTTTGATTTAATGAAAACCTTTTACCATTTCCAGCACTTTCCTTTATCTTTTTGTCAAATAACATTTACAAGTTTTCTCATTTACAGTCTTTTCACTTCGAAATCTCTTCTTCAAAGTTTTACATTTTAATGCTTTCTTCACATTTCAAGCACTTTACATCTCAGAAAACTGTCATATTTTCCATACCTTTACCTTCAAGTCTTATCCTTCGAACGCATATTTTTACTTAAAGTCATTTACAGATTTCTTGCATTAAACGCTTTCTTCATATTTCAAACCTTTTACGTTCCTGAAATCCTTTACATTAACTGTTTCATAATTCGAAACCATTTGCTTGACTTTTATGCAATTTTACATGTCTTTACAATTAACATTTATTCATGCAACTTAGTTTCGTACACACACATTTTGATTACATCTTTAGACTTTTTGAGAGAGAAATCGAAATAAGCCAAACGCATATACAACACTCAAATATCAACCATGAATATCTGTTCGATCGTGAGAGTAACCTTAATGTCCAAGGAATCCTAGGATCAATCTAGTCGATCCTGTGAGTTACCAGAGGAATTGAATAACAGTCAGAAAGATTATTCGATAGTTTGGAAGACTAGCGGTTGTTTACCAGAAATCACTAAGGAGGTCACTGAAGACATCCAGAATACGCCAGAGACTTCGATTGCCGCACCTATAGCTGTTGCAAGAGAAACCCAGGCTACTGAAGGCCAGGGAAATCAAAACCAAGAACTAACATAAGTCACTGAAGGCTTGAGGCTGGAATTGGAGAAAGTCCAAATCACGCAGCCAATTTCCCCTCAGAAGGAAATATGGGACACTCTAGGGGAACCCAGTGGAAAATTTGACTATTTGGTCAAATATTCTGCCCCAGAGAGTTCGAAGGTTCAGATTAAGGATATAAAGCCCAAAGGATGGGGCGATGATGAAGCTAAGGGGGAAGATGTTGAAATAAAAATGGTGGATATGGAAAGACCTCGCTCTGAGATGGAGGAAGTAGAAAAATACTTAGAAAAAGAAAAGTATAGAATGGGGGATAATCACACTGGAGATGCTAGTCTCAAGGATTATCTCATGACATGCCACAAAGGAGATTCAGGCATGATATTGTGCCCTAGGTGCAGTATCCTCTGCAATCAAAGAATCACTGCGAATTTCGAAAGGGTACAGAGGACTCGAACTGGCAACAATTGGCGCCAGGATAACCAACTTTTTAGGTGTTATCCCAAGGCTGGAGAAAGTTTGCTGGAATTTGTGTTTCGCTGCTACAAAGGGGCAACCAAGTGCTTGATTTGCCCAAGGTGTTCTGCTGTGTATGACCAATGCATGGCCAGGGCCTTCGAAACGATTCCCTTCGCCCCTTGCTGGAACCATCAAGAAACTGTCCAGATGGGCCCACGTTTCGACAGCAGACACAAACAGCGAAGGCCTGATAGCCCTCACCCCAAGGCTGCTCGAAGAGTGACTTTCAAACTCCCTGCTGAAGTGCCAACCGATAGATGGTTACAGGTCAGAAATGACAAAGGCAAAGATAGATGGAGAAACGCTGAATGAAATGCACGCCATGCTGTGACATACAGGAGGCAATTCAACACAGCAAAAAGGGAGGAGGTGAGATTAGAAAATTACAAAGGAAGGAACCCCATGTCAAGATCCCAGTGGCGCAGACAGCAAAGGATTCGAAAGGCTGAGAGAGAAGCTGTGGCAAACAAAGGGGTTACTTCAACAAAAAACCAAGGTGAATCTAGCACCAACAAACCAAAAAATCAAACTGAAGACAAACCTCCAGTCAATAGGAGGCTCTTCTCTGAAGTACAACGCGATGAACCAAAGGAATACACTCCAGGTCCGGAAGAGGACGAAGATATGATAACAAATAACTTCGAATCGGAGGGGGAGTCTTCATTTAACCTGAACTATAACGTGTTGTCTGTGCTTCCCTGCGAATTTGGGCAGGAAACCGAAATCGATGAATATGAGGAGGAAGACACCACATATTTGATGAAACATAGGCCTGTGTGCTACTATGTGATGGACAATGGGGCTGTTGAGGAACAAAATGCGTTCTTCGAACGTCCAGAAGCTGCAATGAAGAACCATCTCAAGCCACTTTTTATTCGGGCGAAAGTTGGTGTCCATGGTGTGAACAAAGTTCTAGTGGATGGGGGTGCTGCAGTCAATTTGATACCCCATTTCATGCTAAAAAGATTAGAGATCCGCGAAGGAGACATCAAGCCCCATAATATGGTTCTGTCCAATTATGAGGGAAAAGTGGGCAA